CCCAGGCGCCCCTAAGTGCCACTGCGGACCTCCTTTTTGAAATGTGCTGGCCTTGGAAGCCCCGTTCACAGCCTTTCTTATGGATGCGCTTGGGAAAAGGCTGGAATGGCACGAGGAGAGTCATCGTGCTGGCTGTACAGACTTGGATTCTTTGATAGGAAGTAAATGCCAGGCAGTGTTTTGCACAACTGGGGGTATTTCTCACAACCGGTTTCCCCCCGCTCTCTGGAAGCAGAGCGTTCCCATGAAACCTCTCGTAAGCTGGAACCGTGTAAAGAGAAGAATCAGTTACCATTAATGTACACGGAAGAGATTTTGAGCATGCCTAGACCCAAAACTAACCTGTCTTAGACTTGTCTGATAGCTTAGGATGCATCTTGCTAAGGGATACATAAAATAAATCGAGATAAAGGGCAGATGCTCACGGACACTGTTCAGAGCTCTGGGAGCTTAGCTTGGTGTGTGATTAGTTCCTGGGGAAGGAGCCCATCAGGACCACCTTCAGGGCTCAGCTGTGCAGTGTATCTATAAGAGCTCACTGCAGAACTGATGCTCAACACTATTTTTGCTTTTCACCTTTTATCATCAAAGCAAAAGTCCTATTTTGGGGCGCCTGGGTGGCTCAGTCAGTTAAGCGGCTGCCTTCGGCTCAGGTCATGATCCCAGGGTCCTGGGATCGAGCCCCGCGTCAGGCTCCCTGCTCAGTGGAGAGTCTGCTTCTCCCTCTCTCTCTGCCTACTTGTGCTCTCTATCTCTCTGTCAAATAAATAAATAAAATCTTAAAAAAAAAAATTATAAAAAAAAAAAAAGCAAAAGTCCTCTTTGGATTTCTTCAGTTAGTGAAAACAGGGAGCTCTTTCATAAAAGTGAAGGGGTGTCATTTGAACTTTTGGAAAGTGGAGGATACCAGTATTATGCAACAGCCCTCCTTTTTTTTTTTTTTTTAGTTAAACATAGTCATCCTTTAAGTTAAACGTAGTTCTCAGTTTGAAGGCATCCTGTGGTGTGGTGAAAGCTTTGGTGGCTCAAGATGAAGTTTGCGGGCGCCTGGGTGGCTCAGTTGGTTGGGCGACTGCCTTCGGCTCAGGTCATGATCCTGGAGTCCCGGGATCGAGTCCCGCATCGGGCTCCCTGCTTGGCAGGGAGTCTGCTTCTCCCTCTGACCCTCCTCCCTCTCATGCTCTCTGTCTCTCATTCTCTCTCTCGCAAAAAAAAAAAAAAAAAAAAAAAGATGAAGTTTGCATTTGTAAATATGGAATTTTTTTTTAGACTTTATTTATTTATTTGAGAGAGAGGGATAGAGAGCACAACCAGGGGGAGAGAGGGGCAGAGGGAGAGGGAGAAGGAGAAGCAGACTCCTCACCGAGCAGGGAGCCCGACTCGGGGCTCGATCCCAGGACCCCGAGATCATCACCTGAGCTGAAGACAGATGCCCAACCACCTGAGCCACCCAGGCGCCCTGTGAATATGGAGTTTTAAAGCGTACAGCTCGAAGACACACAACTCTGGGATTGCACTGTGTGGTAAAACACATGTTTCTCTAGAAACGGGGAACCGGATGAATTCCTCGTCCGGAATTCTGAGCACCTGAGGCAGCTTTGACGAATCTTCTCCCTTTAGGTGCTGCCCTCACAGCCTTGCGTGTGTAGAACATGTGGGTTCAGAACTCCACAGACTCTTCTTGCAACATGCCTTGGTGTCTCCTGGTGCTCTTCTCTCTCTGGTTACAAACTAGTCTCCAAGTTTCCTGCTAAGTCCCAAATTAGTCACTTAATTCCCTTTGGCAGTTTCTTCTATGATATGGATCCTTTCTTATAAGTTCCTTTCAGAAGAAAATTGATTTGTGAGGGAAAAGCAGACCACTGGTGTGAAAAATAAAGAAAAGCAAAAAAAAAAAAAAAAATTCTATATTAGGAATAGCCACCCTTAACCATTCTTGAAAAATAAAAGTAGAATACTACCTTATAATTTTGTGTCCTTGAGATTTTTTTCACATATTATGAGCAAGAGTTGTTCTTAACTGTAATTCAAGAATGACAACCCACATGACTACAGAAAAATCAAGTGATTACAGTCAGCTTTTCCAGTGACATAATGCCTTGTAGTTAACTGATGGATAGATAGAGGCTTTCATTGAGGTCAAAATTCTCAAGAGCGAGGCTAGTAAAATTTAAAATATCTATTAATGTTTCTCCTAATAATAGTTCCATATGAGAAAAATCTCACTTTGCTAAAATGAAAGAACTTTGCTCATCTTTGTGGTGAGGTAGTAGTTAAGAGAATATTCTGCAAGTGATACTGAACGAATGGCTAAGTGCACAGCATTGACCTCTTTCAGGGTTTTCATTAATTGGCACTGCTGTTTATATTGGGAGGACCAAAAAGTGCTGGGAAGAGCATTAGGCTTTGCCGGACTGAGCAGCAGGGGCTGTCCCAGTTGAGGCTGTGGCTGATGGGCACTGGGTGACAGGCAGTGGCTCAGTGGGACGCCGTTCACGCCACCCTAGGAACTGGAACTTTGGTACAAAGATCCTGACTGATTTAAGTATTTTCCCTAGAAGTAGGCTTTACGAGGTACCACTTTGTTGTCGTTCTGGTGACTACAGCAAACATATGCTTAAAGTGAATTCTTAAATTGGGGGCTCATTTGGGGATTTCATTTTCTTTACAGTCTGCAATGAATTATCATTTCAACTGTGTGCCTTTTTCATAAAAGCATTTTACATTGTACTGGAAAGATTACATTCTTTTGGCTTTGGAAAAATATTTCCTGTTCAGCTCAAGCCATTAAAGCCTGTTAGCATTTCACATCTGGAAGCCCCTGCCCAGAGTTGGCCTCCATTCCCAGCGAGGGGAGCTTGGCCGCCCAGCTCAGCTCCAGAGCGCATGCGTAAAACACCCCCGACTTGTTTACTTCCTGGAGGCCCCTGGGCACTGCCCAAGTGTGCCTTTGCGGTGTGTGTTGGGGGGGGGGAGTGGGAGGCTTCCTTCCTCTTGGGGTCGTGTGTGTGTGTGTGTGTGTGTGTGTGTGTGTGTGTGTGTGTGTTTGTACGCACACGCGCGCCTCCTGGGCTGAGGAGGGAGTCTATCTTCCTGCCAAGTTGGGGAGGGGTCTTTCTTCCTCTGGAAGGGCAGGGGTTCCCTTTCCCAGCGGGCATTGGATGCTCCCCCTCCTGCCTTAATCACTTCCTTTTTTCATTCCCACCCAGATTTCCAGAAAACAAACCCAAACATTTTGTGTGTGAGAGCGAAGCTGCTGGAGCTTTTCTAATGGGGGATTTCCCCCACTCACCCCCACACTCACACCCCCCCCCCGACCGAGGAGTACTAATTAAACCCCGAAGGGCTGAAGAATTGAGCTCCCTTCCACTAGGCTGGTTTGCCTGCCCCAGGACACTTCTCAGGAGTATGGGGTCCGAGCTCAGCTTGGAGGTTATTTAAAGGGGAAGGGGGCATGGGTGCTGCGTTGTTCTGTGAGTGTTGAGATGTTTGTAGCTGCCCTCCACTTCCCAGAGGGTTAATCTCTGTGTTTTAGGGCCCTGCTCCCCAGAGGCAGGCCTGATTCTTCTTGTGGGCTTCCTGCAGAGAAACAACCCCCCCCCCCCCGCCCCAGGGCCAAAGGTGGCCTGGGGTTACTGTCCAAGGAGTTCTCTGAGGGGGGTCTCACAGCGTGCGGAACCAGCAGGGGAAATGATTTCATGGTGTTCAAGGAGCAAAACACATTCATTGCATTTCTCATGACCACATGCGACCAGAATTGATGCCAGGTAACCCTTGGCAGCCTGTAGGGGAGCCCTGCAGGGGCCTTCCTGGGCCCCTCTAGGAGCACCCAGGCTTTTGGGCCCTGTGGCCATGGTGAGGTGCCCCCTCTCCCAAAGCCCTGAAGACCACAGTGCCCTGACCCCTGTCCCAAGGGGCCGAGTTGGGCTTCTCAGTGGAGCTGGTGGATGCAACTGTCCTGGGAGTCCCAGACCTCACCGGGGGGCACTTGAAGGCTTGGGGCTGACAAGCATCTCTCCTTGAGAAGCACAGGCAGCAGAGAGTATAAACTGGGGGCAGGGGATGTTGACTCCCTCCTGGGGGCAGTTAGGGAACCGTGGTGATTCAAGCTGCTTTCATGGGGCAGGCATGCAGCCTGAGCTGGGTGCTTCGGGGTTGAAGCAACCCTCTTTCCCGTTTGATCTTCTTAATTTATTTGAATGTGCACAGTCTTCTTTTCATACCTGTGGGAAGCCACTTGACTTTCTAGAAGAACGAATAGCAGTTTGAAAGAAGAGCCCAGCTAACCACCCACCCAAATTTCCTAAGTGCTCGGTGTGGGGAAGGCCGGGGGAGGGGTCTTCCGTGGCAGGGTGGGAGAGGAGAGAGGCAAGCACACAAGGTGCTCTGAGGAGCACTCCGTGTTCCTGGGTTGGGAGAGAGTGGGGTCAGGCTGCCTCTCTTGCCCACCGAGTTCCTGTGTGTGTGGCCCCGAGGGAGTGGGAGGCGGCAAATGTGGATTCATTCCCATCCTAAACTGAGCTGGGATTCGAACATAGGACTCAGTGGCCCCCCGAGCCCTTGCCTTTTGGGGCTCCAGGAAGGCTCCTAGGAGTGCTGGTGCCTGAGATGAGCCTTGAGGATGTCAAGATAGAAGGAGTGAGGAGCGGGGGCATAAGAGCCTCTTGGGTGCTGGGAGGGGGAGGGGGCGTGGAATTCTAAGGGCCTTCTGGGCTGGGTCACTCACATAATCTGAGTGTTTTGCACAGATCCTGAGCTCAGTCAGACCTGCTGCTGACTAGCCAAGCATTCTCCTCTTGGCCTTGGTTTCCTCGTCTGCAAATGGCGGTGAAGCTAACTCATTGAGATACGGGGTGGGGAGTGCTCAGCATCCTGCTGCACCTCGGCCCCAGGGAACCCAGCTGGGTTATTTTGGTTGGTGGCTAGTGGAGGGTGGACAAGCAGGAGGGGTGAGGCTAGAGGCTGTTGTGAGCAGCTGAGCGTCAGGACTAAGGACGAGCATGGAGAGAGGTGAGGCAGGCTGGTCTTGGTGACAGGTTTGAAGTGGACCTTGAGTTAGGAGCCAGGATTCCAGCCTGGATCCATCCAGCCTCTACGCTCTAGGCTTGGAAGGCCCAGTAGGGAGTAGGGGGAGGGGCCTAGAGTTTTAGCCCGGGGCTCTGTCCACTCAGTTGTGTGTGGGGGGGGCAGGGTTCTGGGTGCATGGGGAGGGGTCTGGGCTTCTTTGGCTGAGCACGTACGTGGGTGTCTACAAGCGTGTGCCTTTCACAGCAGAATATGTTGCCTATACAGACATACTTATAGAGGGAGTGATCCCAGAGTCCATCATTGACTTATTTCATTGTCATCAAGAGGACTGTTAATTCTTCGTCTTTATTTGAAACCTTTGTATCTGTGCATTTATAGTTGTCATTTTTTGGGGCACATTTTATCCTCAAATACTTTTAAAAAAATTGGGTAGTGGGAGAATGTATTTGCTCAGCGATTTGTCACTCTCTGTGTGTGCCCATGACACGTCCAGTGTGTCAAGCCCGGGGCAGGAGGTGGGCTTATGCATAGGTGGGGGTCTTGTCCGCAGCCGCTCTGGACGTCCTCCCTTTTCCATGAACATTTCCCCCAGTAACTCGTCCATGGCGGTAACACTCACACGGGCAAACTCCTTAGACTGGAGACTTGAACCCTTTTGCCGCTAACAACAGCCTCTCTTTCCTGAAAAGTGGCTGGCAGGAAGGACTGGAAACTCAGAAAGGTGGGAAGCCACTATTTCTGTGAGTGAAGGCTTATCTGTCTTGAGGAGGTGGAGGACGGGGAGGATCAAGTGGCCGTTTCGGCAGCCTCCCCCCATAGGAGGCCCAGAGCCGAATCAGAGGCAGGATCCACAGAAAAGAGGGGACCGCAGAACCCTCTCCCACTTGGGGACATGCCAGCCCGAGGCCGGCCAGCATCTCAGGGGAAAACTAACCACTGCTTCTGAGCTGAATTGGATGCTATCAATTTGGATGATTCTTCGAGGATATAATTTTCCTCTACAAGTGTGAGGACAAGAAAGAGACACTGAGGAAGAGCCAGGGGGAAATGTGCAAATGAATATGTACAGTAGTCTCCCTGTGTATGGACACGTTTGCAGTTCCTACCAACAAGTACATTTTAACTCTCTATATAACAGTAGCCCAGCACGAGGAGACGAGTTGGCAGATCTCATCAACCTGCACAGCGAATATGGAGGCTGGCAAAATCGTAACTCAAGCTGGATTTTGTCACAGTTATCAAGGTTCTCACCAGCTAGTGTGGGCTCTTCAGGTCCCTGCCTGTGCACATAGCTACTGGGGCTTCCCTCCGGGAAGATACCTGGGAAACCATTTGGTGGTTTGGTGTATGCAAGGAAGTTTCTGTAGTATCCTAAGGCGGTGGGACAGGTAGAACTTCCTATCTCCCCGGGGTCGCTGCCAACCCTGCCATTGGGAATGTCTTCTATTTTCTTTTGGCACCTGATGCAGAACTATTTTTTCATTAAAAAAAAAAAAGGGAAACGGGGCTCCCGGGTGGCTCAGTGGGTTAAGCATCTGCCTTTGGCTCAGGTCATGATCCCGGGGTCCTGGGATGGAGCCCTGCATCGGGCTCCCTGCTCATCAGGGGAGTCTGCTTCTCCCTGTCCTTCTACCCCTCCCTGTGCTCGTGCTCTCCCTCTCTCTCTCTCAAATAAATAAAATATTAAAAAAAAAAACCAAACCTTGAAAAAAATAGGGGAACATGATTTTTACGGCAAGTGTTACTTGTATGCTTAAAAAAAAAACACTTCGGAAATGAGGGACTTCCCCTTTAACAAAAGAATAAAACTAATGTCATTTCTTGCTGTCTTTTTTCCCCTAGCAGGCGTTTACCCAGTGGATATTTTGGAAGATGACCCTGAAAGGCATCGGGAAGCAGCCCTGGCTTACTATGCCACGCTTAGGGAAGGGATGCAGCCCTCAGTAGAGCTTTTCTCTCTTCCTACGGGGGAGCAGGTATGTGTGGTCTTCCTTGTTGGTAGAGAGCTCTGTAAAATCTAACTTACTAGAAAGTAGAACGTTAGTACTAGAAAGAGTATTATAGATTTAAAAACAACAACAACTACTTCTGGAGTGAATACTAGAATAATTGCACTTTGAGAAGCAGAAGGAATTCTAGAATGGCATTCTGGAGTCCTGAGGGTAAGTCCGGTTATGCAAGGTGGTGAGTGAGACAGCCTGCTATGAATCCCACATCTATCGCTTACTAGCTGTGTGACCTTGAGCAAGTGTCTTAACTTTTTCTGGTGTTGGTGTTCTCATATCTAAAATTGGGACAATAACAGAGCTTACTGGGGTGCCTGGGTAGCTTTGTCAGGAGAGCATGGGACTCTTGATCTCAGGGTTGTGGGTTCAAGCCCCACGTTGGGTGTGGAGCCTATTTGGAGAAAAACCAAAAAAACAAAAAAACCCCCAGAACTTACCTTGTATTGTTATTACAAGGACTAAATGAGACCCTGTGTTTACGTAATGCTTGGTTGGGCCTCAGTTTCCCCATGTGTAAAATGAGGGGCTTGGTTGCTCTTTGGTCTCTAAAGTTTGGCTCAGTTTTAAAATTTTGTGGTTTGGAATGAAGTTTTGTCAATTGGAATTTGGTTACATCAATGTGATTTTTAGAACTGATAACCTTTTGGCTAAGGACTGGGAGAGAACAGAGAGAAATGAAAACCGTTTGTTAGGACGGTGGTACTGTGGGTGAAATTTTTAAAAATGCGTTATTTTGAAGAACGGTTTTTCTCATGCAGTAAGTGAAAAGAATATGTGAATCTTGGGTTGTACCTCAGTCAGTCACCTTTCTTTCAGATTTAAGTCTGATCTGTTCAAAGAGACAAGATTTTCTTGTTTTGTATGTAGAAGATTTTACTCGTACCAGATGATATCATTGCTGTCTGTCCAGCATAGTAGAGTTTTATTTCACTGTACTGAAGTTGTTCCAGAGTTCATTAGAACAGTGGCTTGTGCAGCTTATACAGTTGTGGCTTCCTTGAGACTTTGGAGATGCTAGTTCATAATCAACTCCTAGAAGAATCCCCTGGGTGATTCTACATTGTGGAGCTGCAGACTGAGGTCCCAGCACTCACACGCCTTCAGCGCCCCCTAGTGGCAGTTATGCCGAAAAAGGAAGCAAGCTCTCCCTTAGGGTTAGGGTTGCTAATTCTTTGGGGGAGCCAGGGGCTGTGGGCTGCAGGGTGGGATGGAGTGTGGGGAAGGCTAGGTGTAACCTGAGAAGCGGGTGAAATCCGAGAGCTCCGAAGGACTCTACGATGCCCTTTCAGTCCTCTGTTTTCATTTCACCCTTATTTCTGAGATTACATTACTTAAAAAAAAAACCTACTATGTAAGTATGTGCAGTGAATGAATAATTTTAGTGTTATTAGCAAAAACATAATAAAATAGGACAGCCCTTAAAAAAAGTTGTTTTTATGTGATAGGAATGCTGAAAGGACTTTATAAATTTTCATGAGAATATTTTCAATTGTTTTCCTACCATTTTGGCATTTCCTTAAGAAATTGTAGACACGCCCTATCACTTAGCAGTTGAAATAGTCTCATTTGGGGTAGTATCAGAGTTCCTCATTGCTTTTGCAAATTTAACTTTTCTTTTGGAATCCTGAGAAATTTTTCCAAACGAAAAGAAAGATGAGAAGGTGGTTTGAGGATATATCACACCACATTGCTCTGGTTCTCGGAAAAGTCCTAATTAACTGTTTCCAGTCTTTTTTTTTTTTTTTAAAGATTTTATTTATTTATTCATAAGAGACAGAGAGAGAGAGGCAGAGGGAGAAGCAGGCTCCCTGCCAAGCAGGGAGCCCGATGTGGGACTCGATCCCAGGACCCTGGGATCATGACCTGAGCCGAAGGCAGACGCTTAACCATCTGAGCCACCCAGGCGCCCGTAACTGTTTCCGGTCTTGAAACTGCCCTATCACATTTAAAATACAATAATACTTATTGATTTTTCTGGCAATAAACCAGGGTATGCTCGTTGTATAATATTTAGGAACTATCACCAGGGACAGAGAAAATGAAAAAAAATCACAGTTAACTGCTGTGAATATTTTGACGTGTTTCCATGATTTTTATTTCTGCATATACTTTTTAAACATTCAGGTCTCTCTCACAATACAGTCCGGTCGGTAATAAACATCTTTCCATGTCGATACAATGCTTTGTACATTTTTTAAAAAAGATTTTATTTATTTATTTATTTATTTTTAAAATTTTTTATTCTTATGTTAATCCCCATACATTACAGCATTAGTTTTAGATGTAGTGTTCCATGATTCATTGTTTGTGCATAACACCCAGTGCTCCATGCAGAACGTGCCCTCCTCAATACCCATCACCAGGCTAACCCATCCTCCCAGCCCCCTCCCTCTAGAACCCTCAGTTTGTTTTTCAGAGTCCATCATCTCTCATGGTTTGTCTACCCCTCCGATTTCCCCCCCTTCATTCTTCCCTCCTGCTACCTTCTTCTTCTTTTTTTTTTTTTCTTAACATATATTGCATTATTTGTTTCAGAGGTACAGATCTGAGATTCAACAGTCTTGCACAATTCACAGCGCTTACCAGAGCACATACCCTCCGCAGTGTCTATCACCCAGTCATCCCATCCCTCCCACCCCACCCCCCACTCCAGCAACCCTCAGTTTGTTTCCTGCAGTTAAGAATTCCTCATATCAGTGAGGTCATATGACACATGTCTTTCTCTGTTTGACTTATTTCGCTCAACATAATACCCTCCAGTTCCATCCACGTTGTTGCAAATGGCAAGATCTCATTCCTTTTGGTGGCTGCATAATATTCCATTGTATATATATATATATACCACTTAGTCTTTATCCATTCATCTGTCAACGGACATCTTGGCTCTTTCCACAGTTTGGCTATTGTGGACATTGCTGCTATAAACATCGGGGTGCACGTACCCTTTCGGAACCTTACTTTTGTAACTTTGGGGTAAATACCCAGTAGTGCAATTGCTGGATCACATGGTAGCTCTATTTTCAACTTTTTGAGGAACCTCCATACTGTTTTCCAGAGTGGCTGCACCAGCTTGCATTCCCACCAACAGTGTAGGAGGGTTCCCCTTTCTCCACATCCCCGCCAACATCTGTCGTTTCCTGACTTGTTAATTTTAGCCATTCTGACTGGTGTGAGGTGGTATCTCATTGAGGTTTTGATGTGGATTTCCCTGATGCCGAGCGATATTGAGCACTTTTTCATGTGTCTGTTGGCCATTTGGATGTCTTCTTTGGAAAAATGTCTGTTCATGTCTTCTGCCCATTTCTTGATTGGATTCTTTGTTCTTTGGGTGTTGAGTTTGATGAGTTCTTTATAGATTTTGGATACTAGCCCTTTATCTGATATGTCATTTGCAAATATGTTCTCCCATTCTGTCGGTTGTCTTTTGGTTTTGTTGACTGTTTCCTTTGCTTTGCAAACGCTTTTTATCTTGATGAAGTCCCAATAGTTCATTTTTGTCCTTGCTTCCCTTGCCTTTGGCGATGTTTCTAGGAAGAAGTTGCTGCGGCTGAGGTCGAAGAGGTTGCTGCCTGTGTTCTCCTTTAGGATTTTGATGGACTCCTGTCTCACATTGCGGTCTTTCAACCATTTGGAGTCTATTTTTGTGTGTGGTGTAAGGAAATGGTCCAGTTTCATTCTTCTGCATGTGGCTATCCAATTTTCCCAACACCATTTGTTGAAGAGACTGTCTTTTTTCCATTGGACATTCTTTCCTGCTTTGTCAAAGATGAGTTGACCATAGAGTTGAGGGTCCATTTCTGGGCTCTCTGTTCTGTTCCATTGATCTATGTGTCTGTTTTTGTGCCAGTACCATGCTGTCTTGATGATGACAGCTTTGTAATAGAGCTGGAAGTCCGGAATTGTGATGCCACCAGCTTTGCTTTTCTTTTTCAACATTCCTCTGGCTATGTGGGGTCTTTTCTGGTTCCATACAAATTTTAGGATTATTTGTTCCATTTCTTTGAAAAAAGTGGATGGTATTTTGATGGGGATTGCATTGAATGTGTAGATTGCTCTAGGTAGCATTGACATCTTCACAATATTTGTTCTTCCAATCCATGAGCATGGAACGTTTTTCCATTTCTTTGTGTCTTCCTCAATTTCTTTCCTGAGTATTTTATAGTTTTCTGAGTACAGATCCTTTGCCTCTTTGGTTAGATTTATTCCTAGGTATCTTATGGTTTTGGGTGCAATTGTAAATGGGATCGACTCCTTAATTTCTCTTTCTTCTGTCTTGTTGTTGGTGTATAGGAATGCCACTGATTTCTGTGCATTGATTTTATATCCTGCCACTTGACTAAATTCCTATATGAGTTCTAGCAGTTTTGGGGTGGAGTCTTTTGGGTTTTCCACATAAAGTATCATATCATCTGCAAAGAGTGAGAGTTTGACTTCTTCTTTGCCAATTTGGATGCCTTTTATTTCTTTTTGTTGTCTGATTGCTGTGGCTAGGACTTCCAATACTATGTTGAATAGCAGTGGTGATAGTGGACATCCCTGCCGCGTTCCTGACCTTAGGGGGAAAGCTCTCAGTTTTTCCCCATTGAGAATGATATTCGCTGTAGGTTTTTCATAGATGGCTTTTATGATATTGAGGTATGTACCCTCTATGCCTATACTCTGAAGAGTTTGGATCCAGAAAGGATGCTGTACTTTGTCAAATGCTTTTTTGCATCTATTGAGAGGATCATATGATTCTTGTTCTTTCTTTTGTTAATGTATTGTATCACATTGATTGATTTGAGGATGTTGAACCAACCTTGCAGCCCAGGGATAAATCCCACTTGGTCGTGGTGAATAATCCTTTTAATGTACTGTTGGATCCTAATAGCTAGTATTTTGGTGAGAATTTTTGCATCCATATTCATCAGGGATATTGGTCTATAATTCTCCTTTTTGATGGGGTCTTTGTCTGGTTTTGGGATCAAGGT